ATATAACTTGGCACAGAATTAGACTACATTAAGATACATAATTCTGTATATCGGTTTTTGATTTCTATGAACGGTGTTGCCTTGGTTACTAAAAATAGAAATTTCTGTGAAATACTTTCAAAATGCTACTCCAAATACAGTTTTAGTTTGATTTTAATATAATTTGGCACACAAGTAGACTACACTGAGGTACATAATTATCAGTTTTTTGTTTTTGATTTTGATGATTGATGTTGCCATGGTAACTAAAATTGAAAATTCTGAAGTTTTATTAAAAGCTACTCCTACAGTTGTAGTCTTATCGCAATCTTGCCACAAAAAGAGACTTAATCAAGGATCATTACTTTACTCGTATCTATTGCTTTTGTAAAGTTTTAACTCCCAACTGCTAATTTTCTCTTCCTTTATTACAAGTACAAACCAATTGCAGTAGAGCTACAATCTCGACAGAGACTTCTGGTTTTTAAATTCAAAGGACGAGATACGCAGAACATATATACATATATGCTAAGACCCCTTTTTGCCCCTGATTAGGACTGTCTTTTAAAATGATACATTAGTTTATCAGTTAAAACATGTCTCCCCTGACACAAAATTAGTATTGGTTCTTATAGATATGGGATACACAGAGGTCACAGAAAGGTCTATAAAATAAAAAATCTAAGAATGCTAATTCCCTCCTTTGAGATACTGTAACTTCATTTGCAAATTAACATCGTAGCATCCATTTTGATATAATGGAACTGAATCACAATTTTACAATGTTTAATCCGTTTTTGTATTAGGGAACTGTAATTTGCATATCAACATTTTGAAATCCATTTTGTTATTCTGGGACTGTATATATTTTAAAACGTTTGTACCAGTTTATGATTTCATTTGATCAGAATAGTATCATATTTTGATCAATAAACTTTTTTTCCATCACACGTGTGAGTTTGTCTAATTTTGATGTGTTGGTAAGGAAAGAGGAGGCATAAAAAGTATTTACTAGTTTATTGACTTTGCATTCCTTCAGTGTGGAGGCTGCAATTTCAAACCTATTGCCATGGAATTAAACAGTAAGGGATTTTACAGTGACAAACAGCCCCTACTGCGACATAGCTCTTCACCTTACTTACTCATTTAAAGACCAGGTTACTCCTCGTAGACTTTTACCAATAATACAGTACTTCAACTAATGACTACTTCTAATGGCAACCCAACCCCCATAATGTAGATTCTACCATCAAATAACAAAACCTCTCTCAAGTAGACCAACATCAACAAATAAAAAAACTCAATCATTTCGACGGCTAAAAATGACTACAAATCCTCTATCATATGGATTGAACCAAATAATAAACATATGTTCTAAATTTAGGCTACAAACATCATGCAGTAAAAACTAAATCATAATGAGTGTATCAACAGACAAAATAACCTCTATCATTTAGTGCCCTCAGATAGCAAACTATCATTTAGATTGTGCCCTCAGATAGCAAACCTATCATTTAGATTATGCCCTCAGATAGCAAACCTATCATTTAGATTGTTCCCTCAGATAGCAAATCTATCAATTTGATTGTGCCCTCAGATAACAAACCTATCATTTAGATTGTGCCTTCAGATAATAAACCTATCATTTTGATTGTGCCTTCAGATAACAAACCTATCATTTAGATTGTGCCTTCAGATAACAAACCTATCATTTAGATTGTGCCTTCAGATAACAAACCTATCATTTAGATTGTGCCCTCAGATAACAAACCTATCATTTTGATTGTGCTCCCAGATAACAAACCTATCATTTTGATTGTGCCCTCAGATAGCAAACCTATCATTTTGATTGTGCCCTCAGATAACAAACCTATCACTTTGATTGTGCCCTCAGATAGCAAACCTATCATTTTGATTGTGCCCTCAGATAGCAAACCTATCATTTTGATTGTGCCCTCAGATAGCAAACCTATCAATTTGATTGTGCCCTCAGATAACAAACCTGTCATTTAGATTGTGCCTTCAGATAATAAACCTATCATTTTGATTGTGCCTTCAGATTACAAACCTATCATTTAGATTGTGCCTTCAGATAACAAACCTATCATTTAGATTGTGCCCTCAGATAACAAACCTATCATTTTGATTGTGCCCTCAGATAGCAATTTGATTGTGCCCTCAGATAACAAACCTATCATTTTGATTGTGCCCTCAGATAGCAAACCTATCACTTTGATTGAACACCTCAGATAGCAAACCTATCAATTTGATTGTGCCCTCAGATAACAAACCTATCATTTTGATTGTGCCCTCAGATAGCAAAAATATCAATTTGATTGTGCCCTCAGATAACAAACCTATCATTTAGATTGTGCCTTCAGATAATAAACCTATCATTTTGATTGTGCCTTCAGATAACAAACCTATCATTTAGATTGTGCCTTCAGATAACAAACCTATCATTTAGATTGTGCCTTCAGATAACAAACCTATCAATTTGATTGTGCCCTCAGATAACAAACCTATCATTTTGATTGTGCCTTCAGATAGCAAACCTATCAATTTGATTGTGCCCTCAGATAACAAACCTATCATTTTGATTGTGCCCTCAGATAGCAAACCTATCACTTTGATTGTGCCCTCAGATAGCAAACCTATCATTTTGATTGTGCCCTCAGAAAACAAACCTATCAATTTGATTGTGCCCTCAGATAACAAACCTATCATTTAGATTGTGCCCTCAGATAGCAAACCTATCACTTTGATTGTGCCCTCAGATAGCAAACCTATCATTTTGATTGTGCCCTCAGATAGCAAACCTATCAATTTGATTGTGCCCTCAGATAACAAACCTATCATTTTGATTGTACCAACAGATCTATAACACACCTCTATCACTAAATTGCATAGGCTTTTACATAAGGAGACAAACCTACGCGTGTTAATAACTACAAAAATTTTATGAATTGGGATCGTTCCAAATAATATACAAACGCTCTAAATGTAAAGTACAAAAATCAAATAGCAAAATATCTAAAAAGTACATTGAACCAACATATTCTTATCTTGTAGATTTAAAAAAAAAAACAATCATTAAAATGATATAAACAGATATAAAAAAAAATCTTTATCATGTATCTTGTACCAAAAGACAACAAAACCTTTGTTAGATAGCTTGTACTAACCAAAAAAAAAACCAACTAAAGTCTTTGTCGTGAAGATTGTACCAAAACAAACCAAAACTTTTATCATGTAGACTGCTTAAAACGGACAAAAAAGTGAATCATGTGCATTATATTGAAGGCTACAAAATTTTTAACATGTAAACTTAATAAATGACAACGAACCCTGTATCTCGTAGACTGCTACAATTGTGGATTGCTGACTGCCACATCTGTCTTGTGAGTCCGGACAATATCTATCACATTCAGTGTCACTATAGGAATTGGTACTGAAAGTTTTTCCGGGTTTTACTATTCCACAGTTACATTTGTTTCCCATCTGTTACAAAAACATATATACAAATGTACTAGGGTAGCACCAGCAAAGTGTTTTATATTAATTATATATATATTTTTTTTTCAAAAAATAATCGTTTATAAAAATATTATGAGACAATTTGACTTTCGGAATGTTATACATGTTAAAAGTGAAGACTGACAGGTGCGGATCTAGAAATTTCTCAAAGGGGGGTTGAGTTATTTTAACGTACGGTTTACATATACATGTAGTTAAATAACTCAATATGATACAGGGTGGAGTATGGTTTTTAAAAGTGGGAGGTTCATCAACCTGTGAAAAAAATACTCATATGGATTACCTGAATGTTTTGTTTTAAAGAAAGGAAAATAAATCTCCAAACCCGAAAATCATATTTTGTAAAGGGATTGGAGTTTCATTTTGTTTTCACACCCAAATTTCTTTATATATTACAACATTAGCCCTACACTGAACAATTTCTACAGTTAAAACACAACAAAACTTTGGGACTATCTTTTTATTTCTTTCTAGCAAATCCAAATGGGGGTGCAACCCAGTAACACCACTCCCCTCTGGATCCGCCACTGACTGATGACACAGAAAAAGAGGGAACCCCTCCCAATCATTTCACATCAGAAAATATCTCCGGTTTGATGTTAAAATAACGTAGCGATGCTCATTAGACATATGAATGTTTATGCTTTAACCGGAACTTATTTAATATGATTTATCCTATAAATTAAAAGTTTAGCATATTTGTTTTATTCGTTCTTTATAAAATGTTGTCGAATTTTCGTGAATTTATCTTTGGCCTTCATAGAGTAAAAGTAGATGTCATGATAATTTCCGAACAACCCTCGTCAATTATTCAAATTGATAAGTCAGTAGTTCAAAAGCTAGAGGTTCTGTGAGCACTGAGGTCACGAAATGACACCCCGCCTCCCATATAATAATAATAATGGCAAAGTTCATGTTTTGCTTTGGGAAACCCGAAATAAGTGTCAGATCAAAAAGTAAAATAGAAGGTGCACAATGGCACTATCTTTTTTAAAGAATCTCTGACAGAACCATTAAATTTTATACAGCGGTATAGGAGGAAAACCATAAATATGTGTCTGATCAAAAAGTAAAATAGGAGAAGGATACATAATGGCTTTATGTAACGAAGATTCTGTAAAAGTTTAGTTAAAATATCAATCAGTGGTAAGAAGAGGAGTTGTGAATAAGAGATGGGTAGCCAACGTGTAGTTTCTTTATGCCATTATGCACCTCCTATTTCACTTTGTACTTTTTTGACCTAACGCTTATTTCGGGTATCTCCAAGCAAAACATGAACTTTGCCATCATAACCATAAGGGAGGCGGATGGTATCATTTAGTAAGATCATTGTTCACAGTACCTGTGGTTTCTTTGACTTTCTTTTGAAACACTTTTCTTTGAACTACTCTATTGCTATACTTTGGACTCTGATTTTTCGGACTTTAATTTTAAGCTCTTTTGATATATTTGAGACAATTTTTTTTAAAAATTCTATTAAAAGTTCATCGATCAATCTATTTTAATTACATTTACATTAAGGTACAACAGAGTCAACTTAGTAAAATTGACCCTTTTAAAAAAAATTGAGAAAATGCCATCGATCAAAGCTCTTTTTACGAGATACTTACCTGCATTAACATGTACGGGAATTTTGTTTTACACATTTCCAGACAATCCAGAACTTTCATACCAGTACTCGAGGCATCATATTGGTGTTCCATGGTAAACGTCTCTTTTGACTCACAGCGAATATAAAGGGCCTCCCGTGTGGCTGTTAAAAGACGTACCTCATGCACAGTTATAGAGTCACAGCTCATATTTCAAATTACCTTTTGTTACTTTTGATGATAGACTGCTAGTACATGTATATCGGGGTTCAATAAATTATCTGAAGGACTTCTAAAGAGACTTTTTTCCAAATTTTTTTTTACTAACTGTGAAGAGGATGATTTGAATATTTTTCGTATTCCTTCATAGCTTGCAAATAAATGATGAACCTAGCTGCTCTAGAGTCGCGAAGTAAGTAGTTGATCCTTACGCCGTGGGTTCGAATCCCACCGTAGGGAGTGGAGACCGGTCCTTCGGATCAGACCGTATAATTCCAGGCCCTGTGTCGCTGTAGGTGCTGGCACGAAAAGATCCCTCACTGCTCAGTGGCCCTAAAGTGCAGAGTTAAAGACAAAATTTGAAGCTCTCCACCGGCAAGTGGTGGCGTCTCCATATAAGTGATTTTTTTTTTCGAGAGGGATGTTAACAACAACATACAAACGTTGACTATCTTTAAATAACTTTTGTTTTGTGTTTAACGTTGTCCTTCTTGTAAACCTACAAGTTAATTCGCTTTTTATACAACATGTATATCGATACAATGTACATGTATGTGCAATACATGGTTTATAAAACGAATTTCAGTGATTTTTAATTTAAAAAAAAAATAAAATCATTTAAACAGAGGCAGAAAAATACACAATGCAAAAAAAAAATTAATAAATAAAAATAAAAAATACAGCACCTGAAACCAAGCTTCTATCCCAAAAAAGAATAATCCAGAAAAATTTTGAAATTTGACCTGGAATAAGACCAATTTCTTTGTTGCATGAGTTATTTTTATAATTTTAATTAAACTGTAATTTTAATTTTTCCAATAACAGATGATACACACATTAAGCTGATTTGATTAATTCTCCGAAAATTGTCCTTCACAATGAAATTGCATGGCAATAGCAATTATTGTTAAAAATCAATAAGATGATGGTATATTTCGAAGGCAATATGCTGTTACTTTCAATGTAATAGGACTTGAAACCACCGATCAATTTTACTCTGATATGGTATCTCTAAGGTCTGGAAGAAGCTGATACGATTCATATTTAGATAATTTTTCAGTTTTCATAAAACAAACATATCTGTGAAAGAAGAGAAAGGAACTTATGTTTAGCGAAAGTTTAACTAGGGCTGACATTATCAATTTCGAAATTTGATTAATAGGATAAATTCTTCTTAAAAAGGGACCCGCAAAAATAAAAGAGGCAGGCATGACAATTTCTTATATATACATGTACCCCTTATTGTAATTATGCTCTCTCTAGTTTTAAAGAGCAATCTCTGCATAAAGAACGAATTTGACCATAAAGATGTTTGAAGGTGCCAAATAACTTTTTCTCAAAATAAACAATCGTTAAGTGTCACCGAACAAGCCCTATTTGGATGATTTCCATAGTAGTAGTAGTAGTAGTACCCCTTCCCCTAAAGATAAGGAAATAATAGATTTTGTCAAAAAGAAGGAATGAATAAGGCGTAAAGAATCGTTGTAAATCGAAGTTTAACAGAAAAGTTCAATCGTCATTTTCCCTTATTTTTGCAGCAGTATACCATTACCATTTGCACATGGAGTATGGAGTTGATTCAATCAAAAGAGATACTCTACGTAAGAACAAATTCTGAAACGTGGCACTTTGTAATCAGCAAGTTATTAGTGAGAAAAAGATATTAATAATCTCGTTAAAAGTCAACATTTCCTAAATTCTATGATGGATATGATATTCTTGCCTGCAAATAAAATCAAAGTACGCAGACGTACAGAGAGCCGGGCTCATTCACAGAGTAGAATGGATTTCTTACATGAATCACGTTTATATTCTGATGAAAAAAATATTTTAAAACTATCTATGATAAGACACTGACAGTGAGTTTTTCAATCCTAATACCACGGTCCGATTTTGTCAGAATCAGAATTAATCTGGTACCGCAGCTGATATAAACAAACAGGCCAGTCTGGTTCCCTCTCCTGCTTTACCTCGTATGTGTAGAGAACTACGGTAACACTGATTATCAAAAATCCTTACGCTAATGAACTATGTTCTTTGACTTATGAAGTTTTCAAAGTCATTACTACTAATGTTTATTTTATATAGATAAAACTTCGTTTTATTTTTGTTGCTTTTTTGTATTATCTCAAAAGCGGTTGAGAGTAAGAACTATATTTTTGCACGTAACTTTAAAATGGCGACTATGGGGTCAACATCCTGCTTTGAACAGGATCACATAAGCCGGCAATTGCTCTTTGAGCAATAAGCCCGGCTAATCATTCAAATGGTGACTGTTTTTCATTCAAATCGTCAGGACATTGCACACTGTATTTTCAATTGAAATACTGGATCTTACGCGATCTGAAAAGAAGCACAAGGCGACCGGTTCATCAATGAAAAGGGTTGATAACCCTCAATGTAGCGTATATAAAACATATTGAAGTAACGAACAGCACTCGAGCTCAAAAGTTAATCAGACAATAACAATTTTGGAGCAGAGCAACCACGGAGCTCTAAAACATCAGAGGTAAGATCAAGTGCCTTGGAGGAGTGAGCATCCCCTGCCGACCGATCACATCCGCCTTATGCTCCTTGTCAAGATCTGGAAATAACGGGAAAATCCGTCGACAATTCAGAGTGTAATTAATGGACTTACAATTAGTATCAAAAACATCAGTTAGTATTTGACTTAACATTCAAAAAAGGGTCTTTTCACAAGGATTACGTAGGTGAAGTATGAGAGCACTAGCTCTTAGCATTCAAAATGTATGGCCAATTTTAAAGTTTTTGCACAAGTACAAAAATCTCCAAGGTCAGGGTCAAAAGGTCAAGGTAATTAGAATCCAATGAAAGGTCTTGCCATATAGAATACATTTATAAAGTATGGAAGCCCTAGATTTAACCGTTCGGAAGTTATGGCCAAGGTTAAATTTTTTTTAAAAGAAGGTCAAACTCCAAGGTCAAGGTCAAAGGTCTTGGTATCCAATGAAGGGTCTATTCACAAGGATTACATATGTGAAGTATGAAAGCCCTATCCCTTACCGTTCAAAAGTTATGGTCAAAGTTTAATTTTTTTCACAAGTACAGAAATCTCCAAGGCAAAGATCAAAAGGTCAATATTGTTGATATCCAATGAGAGATTTTTCAACAAAAATAACATATGTGAAGTATAAATGTCCTGGTATCTATTGTTCAAAAGATATGGCCAAAGTAAATGATTGGAAAGTTGTGTAAAAGTCGGTCAAACTCCAAGGTCAAGGTCAACAGGTCAAATTTGGTGGTATCCAAAGAAAGGTCTTGTCAAAAGGAAAACACATGTGAAACATGAAAGTTATAGCTCCACTATATCAAAAGTTATTGGCAAGGTTAAAGTTTTTGCGGACAAACAGACAGACAGAGAGACAGCTATACAGACAGACGGACGGACACGACAAAAACTATATATCCCCGAAACTTCGTTTACGGGGGCATAATTATATCTAAATATACTGACTATTCAGCCCATACATATCTGTTATGCATACGATTCCATTGAATGTGAGTCTAATATGGGTCGGATACCTTTATACCGGTACATGTATATCATTACAAAGCTTTGTTGTTAGATTACCATAATTTTTTTTTAAAGAAAAATATCAAAATTATCAATCACTTTGTACTCTTAATATAAAAACGAATTCTTACTTACGGTGTGGAAGAATTCGCGGAACGTGTTGATCGGCATTAAAAAGGAAAAGGGGGGACTCGGTGGACTCTGACCTCCAAATACCCGCCCAAGCTGGATCTCTGCAACTCCCAGTTCCAATGCAGAGAGGATAGGGGGGTTGTCTGGAGGAATAAAATTTTTCATAGAATTTCAAATAAAAATTCTATGTCTAAAAATGTTTTTATATACATTTGTAAATAAATATTATATAAACTAAAATCAATTTATAACCGACATGTACTTGTGAAAAATCTATGATAAATTTGTTTCCCTCCCCAACTTCAAATCCCTGATCGGTCTTATGCTTAAACAATAATAAAATACGTGACATGTAGATTGTACCTTAAAGTACCTCATTTCATATTCAAGATACACCACCTGAATTCCCTTTATCCCTTAAAACTCAACTTTCAAAAATAAACCAAATGACCTTGAATATGTTATTGTGAAGTTATAACCGGAGATACTGGATGACGATCTCTTCACTTCCTCAAACCATTTTCCACTCCTAACAGCTGTTCTGTTGAAAACCATTCGCCACAATGGATCCGCCACAGCATTAAGAAATACAAGATGTACCTGCAGTATAGTTAGAAACATCATCATATCAATGCAGAATTTTTCACCATTTACTGCATTTTTTTTTTTTATTGTTTTTCTATAAAATAAATATAGATGCCTGCCTGTGTCTTTATTTCAATTTCTTTAACACCTACAAAATTTGGTAAATAAGGACGAACTAAAGATTTAGTCTGAATTCAAATCAGAAGGGAAAATATAGCTCCATTTCTAGCAAACAAATCTTTAAATCTGAAAATAAATTTCTTTGTATTATGAAATTTTTTACATATGCTACTTATTTTTTTTCAAATTATTCTAAAGGGTTGGAGATTTTACATGGATTCCGAAGAGCGTAAAATACGACTAATACTCAGTATAAGAAATTAATATTGTACAGGACTACAATAATGTAATTTTGCTTCAATCAAAGCTGATAAAAAAATTTATAAATGTTATTTTCATTTTAAAAAATTGATCTTTAAAATAGTCAAATACTTTGCAACAAAATTTTCCTTTTTTCAAACTTGTTCACATTGCTAAATAAGGAATACTTAAACGTTCAGTACACGATGTGGTTATATTGATGTCGACGTCATGTAGTATATTACAATTAATAGTGTTAGATTGGGTATTTCATAAATATCAATATTCAAACTTTAAATACTTGTATGCCATTCTTTTCTAAAAATTACATGTAATTCCTCGTGTAAAAATGAACTGAGATCAAAGTGAGCTCCGAGAAAAATCGGATTTCACCGATGCCATTAACGCAAACATTGTTTTATAATCTTATGGTTAGATTTACTTCATCTTGCTGTTTGTCAGTAACATCCGAAAGTCCTAGCTCTTGGGAAGGTTCTTACTTTATTTTTTTTTAGACTGTTGGAAATTTCAGTTTAATAGTTTCATTACTCAATGAAATTACCTCGTCGTATGACTCTGAGTCTACCGATTGGTCAATCCTGTAAGTGCCCTGTCCAATCAACTCTCTCAGAGGAAGGCGTTGTCTATGTACCTGGGTTCTATTTGCGTTGTCTATCCAAACATCCCGTATGTTTGTACCCCCGCCTTTCTGAACAAGCATCAAAACTTCTCCCCCAGCTGAGAAAATAAAATTTATGAGTAGAAGGATATGGAGATAAATAACAGCATTCAATATCAAAGTCCATAAAGCAATACAAAATAGGAGCAGAGCAAACATGGACATCCGAAACATCAGAGGTGGGATCATGTGCCATGGAGGAATGAACATCCCCTGCTGACCGGTCACACCCGCTGTGTGCTCCTTGTCATGATCAGGAAATAACGGGAAAATCCGTCGTCAATTCAATGTATAAATAATGGACTAACAATTAGTATGAAAAACGTCAGTCAGCTTTTGACTTTTGATAAATTGTATTAGCTGACAAGGTCATTGTATCGACCATAGAACTTACGAAATGATGACTTTAAACGAGACTGCTGATATTTTTGTTTCATCAACTTGCTTGTCAATAATTTACCTCGTTTTAGAAATTGTTCATACGTACATGTAGAGCAGGCTCTTTTGTATCGAATCAACTGAGATATGTACACTCCGTATGCAGGTGATGAAGGTATATTGCTGCATAAGTAAGGGAAGTTGACGATAGAAAAGTTAAAGTCATCACGTTTATCAATACGTATGGTTTGGTTGTTAGATTACTATTACCGTCTTTTTCAAGTAAAATATCCAAGTATGAAACACATGTGTCAGACTCTGTGGTATCTTTTATCTCAAGCTCTCCAGGATATATCGTATCGACGTAGGAATGGAAATTACCATTGTTAATTGACAATAGGTCGTCGATATACCTAAATGTCGAGCAGCAAGTGTTTTCTTCTTTTCACGCATAAGATTTTGCACAAATTCTGCTTCATATGAATACAAAACAAGCTAATTCAGAGAATTCGTGTCCCCCGCTTAGGGAAAAAGTCGGCTCCCCCTGACTGAATTTGTAGAATTATTAAATGTATACATGTATACTGAAGCAAATAAAATACATGTATGTCAATATGCATATAAAGATTTAATTGCTTATTCTTTATTATGTGTATAGAAGATTTTTTTATATGGAATATTTATCACACTGTAATGATGATTTTATAACCTCATAATTTTTTCATTTCACATGCTGAATACTATCATTTAGTAAAAAAAAAAAAAAGGTATTTACAAAAAAAAAAAAAAAAAAAAGAAAGGAACGACCGAGAATCGATCCCGTGACCTCTCACATTTAAGGCGAGAGACATAACCACTACACCACGGTGTCGCTTTACTCAGTGTGAAGTATATGCAGAACTGAAGTCACATACATGTATATAGACCTATTCATGTTTTCATGTTCGGTATTCTCAAAATTTTACACAATCCATGGTCAGTCAGGGGCATAACTCAAACAAGTTATTTTCAAAAATAACTCAAATGAGTTATTTTACATTATTTCACACACACAAATTTTTTTTTGAAAAATAACTTAAGGATATACGATCCTCAGCCAGGAAGGATAACTCTTTAATTTATAATTTAATTCAAAACGTCTTCAAATAAAGCTTGAAATTGATATTTTTTCATGCAACAATTTTTATTTTATACATCTACGTATGATTCAATGTTCTTAAAAGTTTTAACAAACGGTATTAAAAAAGTTGACATTTGTATCTCATAAAATAAAGTAAAACTTGCACATTTAAAAAAATCAGATTTCTTTCAATTAAGCCTTAGTTACCAATGTTACTAAGCATGACTTGAAATTAGAAGTGATTTACGGCGTTTTCTTTGAAAGGAAACACTTCATACACTTTGTATTATGAAACGATTGAAGTAAGTAGGAGAAAGAGTACCAAATAAGTGTAAAATTCATGCAATTTTCTTTAAAAGCCTGGATACCTATGATTTTTATTCCTAAAATGTATTTCTTGATCAATTATCAAATAAAAAATATGCAGTAGGTAGTTCAAATCGCATTTCCTGAAAAAATATTTGAGATTTACTAATTTTCCCTATATAATATGATTAAATTTAAAGATGAAGTTAAAAGAAACACCGTGGATATAAATAAATTTTAATTTGAGAATTTAGAGACATCTTTGTGAGCATTTTCAATTACTCAATGCCTGATTTTCAGAACCTGAGGATCGGATAACCTTAAATGAGTTATTTTCATATCCTACTTGGACATTGATTTCTTGGAAATTTCGTGTTTCCTGCCAATTTGCATTGCATTTTGGGATTCCATTATGTAATACTAGATGGAGTTCACCGACTCCAATGGAGTATTTGTGAGGAGGTGGAGATAAACAGCATTTTACTCCTTATTTTGTGGTTTTATCCACATGTTGTATAAAAAAAATTCCCCACTTTTCCCAAGACTTTGAACACTTTTTCTGCATTGAGCAAGGTTTATATTTAGTCAAACATTTGTTTTCGTCTTGGTGCACGAGCAAAATCCTTTGGTGCACGGGGTGTGAAGTTAGGAAGGAATGACACAAAATAACTTAAATAAGTTATTTATTTATTGAAGCTATTTTGAAAAAATAACGTGTTTGAGTTATTAAGGTTGGTAAAAAGTAGGTCATAGCAAAGAGAAGTAACTCATTGAGACAAAAAAATAACTCATTTGAGTTATTTTTGAAAATAACTTGTTTAAGTTATGCCCCTGACTGATGGTGTTTGATTTATTTAGCCTTTATTAAACAGTTCTAGTAGATGTAATAAGAACATAAAGTCCGCTGAGAACCTGTTTTATACGCAATAACTCTCCTCATGCCCCTGCGCTAAAAATAGCGACAAGTAATACTATAAATACTAATAAAACAAACGGGGCGGGGCACTTTGAGAGGGGCGAGAGACGTCCTAGGGAGTTTTGGTATAAAATTACATTGCATAAGCTCAAAATCTTCTTGAAATATCGCCCGGAAATGATAGTGTTACACACAGAGAGAATGTATAAATTTACGACCTTGAACTTTGACCTTTTGACCTCAAAATCAATAGGGGTCTTCATTAGGCCACAGGGAGTTGTTATGTAAAATTTCATTGCAATAGCTCAAATGGTTCCAGAGATATCGTGTGGAAACGAAAGTGTTTTAACAGACAGAATTTGCTTATTTATGACCTTGACCTTTGACCTTTTGACCTCAAAATCAATAGGGGTCTTCTTTAGTGCATAGGGAGTTGCTATGCTAAATTTCATTGCAAAAGCTCAAAGGGTTCTCGAAATATCGTGTGGAAACGAAAGCGTTACAGACAGACAGAAAGACGGACGGACGGACGGACGGACAAACCCAAATTAATATCCCCCACTTTTCAAGCGGGGGACAATTAGGTCTGCTAATAACGGAGCGCAATTGGTGCCATGGGAATTCCAGTAGATTGTTGGAAGACCTGGTCTCCAAAAACCACACAGATATTGTCAATCAGAAATTAAAGCATCTTTTTGATGTCAATTTCAGAGTATTTGTGTGTGCAATCAGAATGTGTTTCAACAAAATAATTTTGCAAATGAGTGCATGTACTTTATAAGTTAGGTTGTATAAAGATATAATTGAAAAGGAAAAATCTTATGAATAAAATTGTTAATATTTTTCTTAAATTTGTCCTTATAGAATAAGGAACATTTCCTTGTATCATTTGAATTTTCCTGTTTTGAAGATAAAATAAAATAATTTTATTTTTTCGAACTTTCTCTGTTCAAGACGAGATAGCAGCATCTACATGTAGCGTCGTTGCAAACTACAAGGTACATGTACATGACTCATGAGATTGAAAGTATGATTCTGTTTTACAAGTGTAATCTGTAAATACTTGGGAAGTTGTTTACCAATTACAAACTGAAATTTTAGCGAGGGAATGTTTTTAATGAAGATATAATTTTGGTATGTAATTCCTGATAATATTTCGTGAATAAATTTCTCTCTATTCTTAGTGTAGCCAAAATGAATTCCTATATTTGGAATTTCCTGTATCGTTCATAAAAGATTCCAATTTTTATCTGTAGTCGATTAACTTTTATAAAGATACATGTATCCTTCAACAGCCTGTACGATCATCAACATCTGTCTTTTTCGATCAATCTAACACCAAAAAATCGCTTCCTAGCTGGTAATAACACATTTAGATTAAGAAAGTACTTTACTTTTTTGTGACCCTAAATAAAAATGTAAAAAAGGATGAACTTTCTTAATTGGAAGAAAACACTGTTAAAAACCCTAGTTTAATTACAATAAGAAGATAACGAACGGTATTCAAGATCAAAAATCCATTTAACAATACAAAATAGGAGCAGAGCAAACACGGAACTCCAAAACATCAGAGAAATCAGGTGGTATGGAGGAGTGAGCAGTTTAATTGAGGAAAAAGGCCAAAAAAATCGATCGGAATTTTGCTAATAACTATATTACATGTACTTTCTTAATTGCAAGAAAACATTGGTAAAAAAAAGACAACAACAAAAAAATGGATCAGAATTTTGCAATTACATACCAAATGCAGTGTCTTTTTTTGGTCAGAGACCAGTTTTTAGACGTATGATTCTGTATAAATGCAGGTGTTACTTTGTGCCCTACTCTAGGGGAAAAAATTCTCTCATCGAGTATTACAAAAAAAAAATTAACTAGTTTTCAGAATATATATTACCAGTTCATACTAGTATAGTATCCAGAAAATTTGAACTCTTTCGATGAAATATACGGAGATAATGAATAGTATTCAAGATTTAAAGTCTAAATTCAAAATAGAATACCGTAAGTCTGATATATTTTATCTAAGGTGCAATTGACCTATTGTGATTTGACAGTAATAACATTTGTTTCTTATAATCAGAAATCCACATTCTCTCGATAGATCCTACATTTTAAGCACATTGAAAACCAGACGCAATTGTCATTTGACATTACATCGTTTAATAAACTTACTAGTATCTTACTAGTACTTTCGTCATTTTAGGAGATGCAATTAAAAATAAATGTATCTGAAATAAGGATTATAAAGGAATTGGGCAAATTTGAACTTGATGATTTTTTTTCTGTAATATTCACACACATACAAAATGATTTCATTATTCAATTTTCAAAAAAGAAAA